GAAAAGGATTTGAAATCAAGAGCTGGACACTAAACACTGGATGAACTGTGCTCGGACGGATCAATACTGTATATTCATGGACTCGATGACTGTATGCTGCTCCGCGACGAGAGCAACACGTGCATAGATACGCGGCATACCTCGCACACTTGACGTGAAGGCACCGGTCGAACGCAAGCACAAGTGTTCGAATCGTTATCGCGGAGGAAGATTAAGGAATAGCTGACTCATTCCGAGAATATGTTGGGACGCGGTCTTTGCTTGAACCTGCCTTGGGACGTGACGAAGCAGGCAACAGAAAGGTTTTGTAAAAAAGGTCACCTCAGTCGTCATTGAGGACTACCGAACTATTTGCTTTTCTACTGTGTTGGGGTACAGCATGGAAGCAGCTTCGTACCTGGTCGCGCAGACCCGATGGAAGATGATACTAAGCGCTAGATGATGATATAAGACGCGCTCGATGATGATGATGAAGATAGGTGCTTGATGACGATAGGTAGAACGGAAGGGTCGGCAGCAACGAGAAGTGCTTGCACTTGTAGTAGTGAATACGTTGTCTGTCGAGTCGTTGCCGCCATGTAGATTCGAGTAAGTGTATCGACTATACACGGACGGGTTGTGAATTGCGATGACTGGCAAGTGGAGAAGTATACGCTGCTGACATCTCGCGGTGGCGTAGAAACACAGGGTTGTTCGGATCTTGATCGTTTGCTCGATCTCTGTTTTGGTGGTCGATATCTTTTCATGAACAGTGCTTCTTGTCGGGAGCGGCACTCCACCGTAGTGCAATCCGCATGACAAGTCTTATTTATCGTTTGGGATGACCGACGACATTCGCTACAGTGCTGATAGGTATGACGCTTGAAATGCAAGACGAAGTCGTGATCGAACCTGTTTGTCGGTCCTGTATTCATGCGCATACGCCGGTCTCCAATGCTTACGTGAGATGTCACTTTCGTATTTGTCGACAAACATCGCTGGCGTAATCTGGTCTAGTGCCTTGTGCTGCTTGCATTTGACAGTCGTGTGACTGTGACTGCCGTATGTAGTAACCGTGACCGATCCCCACGACATGAAAACACGGTCAGTCTCGTGACCTACTAAGACATCGCGTGGAGCCACGAACGACGTGAGTGAGAGGTCACTCCGCTTCATCGAAGGCTACTCGGGTCTTGGACACCGGTAGCATGATGTGAAAGGCATGTCTTCCAGAGTAGTCAGTCGGTTCCGAATGAGCTACTACAGACATGACGCCTATCCATTCTGCCACCCGCTACGAACTCTCGTGTGCGAAACCCAGCTGTCTGGAAAGACTCGACGAGTACATTTTCACTACATGACGCTCCCCTTGTGCCCAGAACTCGAAACCGGGCGAGCCGAGTTCGACCGATCCAACAAAGGACGTCTACGGAACACGTGCGGAAGTCGTTTACCGAGATCCGCTCGAAAGAAGCCGCTCTCACTCTTTCGTATCTCACGTGCTTGATGCAGTAACATGCGCTGACAACGAGTACACGATAGTACTCAGCGTCGATTCGGTCAGACGATCGCGTTCTTTCATGCTCATGTTAATGCACCTGCCAGACGCTGCACCGTACAGGTTGTGCTGCGTTTCAGATGTGGATGGCGATATGTTTCTTTGTATATGCCTACTCGAGTTTCATTTCATAGTAGCGACTTCGTCCAGCTACCTTCTCGAAAGGGTCGTGATCAAGCTAGCTGATCGATCAGTAGTGATGCATGCCAGTCGCGGTAGATGGCGACTTTACATGATGTGTAGTCCGGCGATACACATCACGAGCTATCGGCTGAATCGTATGCTCTGATAGTTGCTGCGGATATCGACAGTCACGTCGCGCACGAGTGTCGTTTCATGATGCGCATAGTGACTGCAGCACAGACCGATGTTCTCGTACTGAGCATCTTCGCTTTCGACTTGTCGCTGTTGACCTGACCGAGTCACCCAACGGATCGAGACGGCGCACTGCATGTTGTTGTAGTGTTGTTGTGTTGTCATCCAACTCGATAAATACTATTCTTTGTGTGTTTACTTACTTCGTGCGATGTTGGGATGATGTGTCTAGTGCACACGATGCTGTACGAAAGCCCTACAATGCCGACCTGACTGACCACGAGACACGACATGGTGGTCGAAGCCGCTGATCCCCAGCGACGTCATCTGTTCCGCCACTTCTTTGTCTCCCACCTCCACGCTACAGTCTGCGCTGCTCTCCCATGTCTGCGTATACGGGGTCACGTGCTGGAGCCGGTGCATGTACTCGAGATTGGTCTTGCAGTCCAGCGAGCAAAACCTATCTTCACCATTACGGAGCGAGGAGAGGGACGTGAAGAAAAGGCGCTCGCAGTTCGCGCAGTGCGTCTGTCGCTGGCGCCACTCGGCTATAGTCGAATCAACGTCGCCGGATCCTCGTCGCGCGATTCGCTCTGCTCGCTTCTGTCGTGAAGTTGGTGAAGCAGATCGTGTCAACGAGCGGCCAAGTCCATCCTGTGTTTCGATACTCGTGCTGTCTGGACAGCTTGCACTCGTTTGCACGGACAGCGATACAGATTCGGCTTGTCCTGGCCATGACTTGGATCGCAGCTCCTGTGCACGTCTCGTTCGTTGGAAGATGAATCGAATCATGCGCGACTTCAAGCTCGTAGACGATACATATACTTCTTGCGTCCGATACACCTTGGTCCCTCGATGACTGGACTTTGGTTCGAAGTCGCCTCGAGTGCGTGCTGCATCTGTCATCCTGTCAATGCTGCTCGACGGCTGCTCCTTCACGGTCTACTGCTTCACGGCCTGCTGCTTGACGGCAAATTCAAAAATGGTCGGTAATATCGTGCTGCCGCGTTCGAACGACCTTCTCTGGTTCTTTGCCTCTTCTCGTCATGCGAATATGCTGACCTTCTTGACCCACCTCGCTTGCTACTGCAGTGCGTGGCAAGGAGACGAAAAGGATTTGAAATCAAAAGCTGGGTACTAAACACTGGATGAACTCTGCTCGGACGGATCGATAGATCGATACTGTACATTCATGGACTCGATGACTGTGTGGCTGCTCCGCGACGAGAGCAACGCGTGCATGGATACGCGGCATGCCTCGTATACTTGACGTGAAGGTACCGGTCGAGCGCAAGCACAAGTGTTCGAATCGTCATCGCGGAGGAAGATTAAGGAATAGCTGACTCATTCCGAGAATATCGGGGACGCGTTCTTTGCTTGAACCAGCTTTGGGACGTGACGAAACAGGCAACAGAAGGTTTTGTAAACAAAGCCACTTAAGCCATCATTGAGGACTACCACACCATTTGCTTTGTTACTGTGTTGGGTTACAGCATGCTGGTAACTCCGTACCTGTTCACACTGTACCTACTGAACGATGATCATACGCGCTCGATGATGACCATACGCGCTCGATAATGAAGATGATGGTATGCGCTTGATGAAGAAGATAGGTGGAACGAAAGGATCGGTAGCAACCAAAAGTGCTCGCCCTTGTGGCAGTGTACGTTGTCTGTCGAGTCGTTGTCGCCATGTAGATTCGAGTGAGTGTATCGGCTGTACACAGACTGGTTGTGACGTGCGGTGGCTGGCGAGTGGAGAAGTGTACGCTGCTGGCATCTCGTGGTGGCGTCGAAACACATGGTTGGTTGGATCATGATCTATCGTTCGACCTCTGTTTCGATGGGGCGATATCTTTGCAAGAACAGTGCTTTTGCTTATCGGAAGCAATATTCCGCCACAGTGCAATCGGAATGACAAGACTTGTCTCTCTTTTGTGATTACCGATGACATTCGCTTCAGTTCTGATAGTAATGACGCTTGAGATGCAAGACTAAGTCGTGATCGAACTTGTTTGTCTTGTATTCGTGAGCATATAGCAGTCTCCGATGCTTACGCGACATGTCACTTTCGTATTTGTCGTCAAACATCGCTGGCGTAATCTGGTCTAGTGCCTTGTGCTGCTCGCATTTGACAGTCGTGTGACTGTGACTGCCGTATGTTGTAACTGTGACCGATCACCGCGACATGAAAACACGGTCAGTCTCGTGACCAACGAAGACATCGTGTGGAGCCATAGCGATGTGCTCAGATGTCACTTCACTTCATTGAACGATGCTCGCGTCTTGGACACCCGTAGATGATGTGAAGGGCATGTCTTCCACAGTAGTGAGTCGGTTCAGAATGAGCTACTACAGACATGACGCCTATCCATCCTGGCATCCGCTACGAACTCTCGTGCGCGAAACCAGCTGTCTGGAAAGGCCCGAGTACATTTGCTCACTGCATGACGCTTCTCTTTAGTCCAGAACTCGAATCGTGCGAGCCGAGTTCGACCGATCCAACAAAGGAAGTCTACGGAACACGTACGAAAGTCGTTTACCAGCTCTGCTCGAAAGAAGCCGCTCTCACTCTTTCGCATCTCACGTGCTTGATGCAGTAACAAGCGCTGGCAACGATTACAGGATGGTACTAGCGTTGATTCAGACTGATGATCACGTTCTTTCACGTAACGGTAATGAACCTGTCGTCTGCACCGTACAGGTTGAGCTGCGTTTCAAATGTGGATGGCGATATGTTTCTTTGTATATGCCTACTCGAGTTTCATTTCATAGTAGCGACTTCGTCCAGCTACCTTCTCGAAAGGGTCGTAATCAAGCTAGCTGATCGATCAGTACTGATGCATGCCAGTCGCGGTGATGGCGACTTACATGATGTGTAGTCCGGCGAGAGCTAGTGAATCGTATGCTCTGATAGTTGCTGCGGATATCGACAGTCACGTCGCGCACGAGTGTCGTTTCATGATGCGCATAGTGACTGCAGCACAGACCGATGTTCTAGTACTGAGCATCTTCGCTTTCGACTTGTCGCTGTTGACCTGACCGAGTCACCCAGCGGATCGAGACGGCGCACTGCATGTTGTCATCCAACTCGATAAATACTATTCTTTGTGTGTTTACTTACTTCGTGCGATGTTGGGATGATGTGTCTAGTGCACACGATGCTGTACGAAAGCCCTACAATGCCGACCTGACTGACCACGAGACACGACATGGTGGTCGAAGCCGCTGATCCCCAGCGACGTCATCTGTTCCGCCACTTCTTTGTCTCCCACCTCCACGCTACAGTCTGCGCTGCTCTCCCATGTCTGCGTATACGTCACGTGCTGGAGCCGGTGCATGTACTCGAGATTGGTCTTGCAGTCCAGCGAGCAAAACCTATCTTCACCATTACGGAGCGAGGAGAGGGACGTGAAGAAAAGGCGCTCGCAGTTCGCGCAGTGCGTCTGTCGCTGGCGCCACTCGGCTATAGTCGAATCAACGTCGCCGGATCCTCGTCGCGCGATTCGCTCTGCTCGCTTCTGTCGTGAAGTTGGTGAAGCAGATCGTGTCAACGAGCGGCCAAGTCCATCCTGTGTTTCGATACTCGTGCTGTCTGGACAGCTTGCACTCGTTTGCACGGACAGCGATACAGATTCGGCTTGTCCTGGCCATGACTTGGATCGCAGCTCCTGTGCACGTCTCGTTCGTTGGAAGATGAATCGAATCATGCGCGACTTCAAGCTCGTAGACGATACATATACTTCTTGCGTCCGATACACCTTGGTCCCTCGATGACTGGACTTTGGTTCGAAGTCGCCTCGAGTGCGTGCTGCATCTGTCATCCTGTCAATGCTGCTCGACGGCTGCTCCTTCACGGTCTACTGCTTCACGGCCTGCTGCTTGGCGGCAAATTCAAAAATGGTCGGTAATATCGTGCTGCCGCGTTCGAGCGACCTTCTCTGGTTCTTTGCCTTTTCTCGTCATGCGAATATGATGACCTTCTTGACCCACCTCGCTTGCTACTGCAGTGCGTGGCAAGGAGACGAAAAGGATTTGAAATCAAAAGCTGGGTACTAAACACTGGATGAACTCTGCTCGGACGGATCGATAGATCGATACTGTACATTCATGGACTCGATGACTGTGTGGCTGCTCCGGGACGAGAGCGACGCGTGCATGGATACGCGGCATGCCTCGTATACTTGACGTGAAGGTACCGGTCGAGCGCAAGCACAAGTGTTCGAATCGTCATCGCGGAGGAAGATTAAGGAATAGCTGACTCATTCCGAGAATATCGGGGACGCGTTCTTTGCTTGAACCAGCTTTGGGACGTGACGAAACAGGCAACAGAAGGTTTTGTAAACAAAGCCACTTAAGCCATCATTGAGGACTACCACACCATTTGCTTTGTTACTGTGTTGGGTTACAGCATGCTGGTAACTCCGTACCTGTTCACACTGTACCTACTGAACGATGATCATACGCGCTCGATGATGACCATACGCGCTCGATAATGAAGAGGATGGTATGCGCTTGATGAAGAAGATAGGTGGAACGAAAGGATCGGTAGCAACCAAAAGTGCTCGCCCTTGTGGCAGTGTACGTTGTCTGTCGAGTCGTTGTCGCCATGTAGATTCGAGTGAGTGTATCGGCTGTACACAGACTGGTTGTGACGTGCGGTGGCTGGCGAGTGGAGAAGTGTACGCTGCTGGCATCTCGTGGTGGCGTCGAAACACATGGTTGGTTGGATCATGATCTATCGTTCGACCTCTGTTTCGATGGGGCGATATCTTTGCAAGAACAGTGCTTTTGCTTATCGGAAGCAATATTCCGCCACAGTGCAATCGGAATGACAAGACTTGTCTCTCTTTTGTGATTACCGATGACATTCGCTTCAGTTCTGATAGTAATGACGCTTGAGATGCAAGACTAAGTCGTGATCGAACTTGTTTGTCTTGTATTCGTGAGCATATAGCAGTCTCCGATGCTTACGCGACATGTCACTTTCGTATTTGTCGTCAAACACCGCTGGCGTAATCTGGTCTAGTGCCTTGTGCTGCTCGCATTTGACAGTCGTGTGACTGTGACTGCCGTATGTTGTAACTGTGACCGATCACCGCGACATGAAAACACGGTCAGTCTCGTGACCAACGAAGACATCGTGTGGAGCCATAGCGACGTGCTCAGATGTCACTTCACTTCATTGAACGATGCTCGCGTCTTGGACACCCGTAGATGATGTGAAGGGCATGTCTTCCACAGTAGTGAGTCGGTTCAGAATGAGCTACTACAGACATGACGCCTATCCATCCTGGCATCCGCTACGAACTCTCGTGCGCGAAACCAGCTGTCTGGAAAGGCCCGAGTACATTTGCTCACTGCATGACGCTTCTCTTTAGTCCAGAACTCGAATCGTGCGAGCCGAGTTCGACCGATCCAACAAAGGAAGTCTACGGAACACGTACGAAAGTCGTTTACCAGCTCTGCTCGAAAGAAGCCGCTCTCACTCTTTCGCATCTCACGTGCTTGATGCAGTAACAAGCGCTGGCAACGATTACAGGATGGTACTAGCGTCGATTCAGACTGATGATCGCGTTCTTTCACGTAACGGTAATGAACCTGTCGTCTGCACCGTACAGGTTGAGCTGCGTTTCAAATGTGGATGGCGATATGTTTCTTTGTATATGCCTACTCGAGTTTCATTTCATAGTAGCGACTTCGTCCAGCTACCTTCTCGAAAGGGTCGTAATCAAGCTAGCTGATCGATCAGTACTGATGCATGCCAGTCGCGGTGATGGCGACTTACATGATGTGTAGTCCGGCGAGAGCTAGTGAATCGTATGCTCTGATAGTTGCTGCGGATATCGACAGTCACGTCGCGCACGAGTGTCGTTTCATGATGCGCATAGTGACTGCAGCACAGACCGATGTTCTCGTACTGAGCATCTTCGCTTTCGACTTGTCGCTGTTGACCTGACCGAGTCACCCAGCGGATCGAGACGGCGCACTGCATGTTGTCATCCAACTCGATAAATACTATTCTTTGTGTGTTTACTTACTTCGTGCGATGTTGGGATGATGTGTCTAGTGCACACGATGCTGTACGAAAGCCCTACAATGCCGACCTGACTGACCACGAGACACGACATGGTGGTCGAAGCCGCTGATCCCCAGCGACGTCATCTGTTCCGCCACTTCTTTGTCTCCCACCTCCACGCTACAGTCTGCGCTGCTCTCCCATGTCTGCGTATACGTCACGTGCTGGAGCCGGTGCATGTACTCGAGATTGGTCTTGCAGTCCAGCGAGCAAAACCTATCTTCACCATTACGGAGCGAGGAGAGGGACGTGAAGAAAAGGCGCTCGCAGTTCGCGCAGTGCGTCTGTCGCTGGCGCCACTCGGCTATAGTCGAATCAACGTCGCCGGATCCTCGTCGCGCGATTCGCTCTGCTCGCTTCTGTCGTGAAGTTGGTGAAGCAGATCGTGTCAACGAGCGGCCAAGTCCATCCTGTGTTTCGATACTCGTGCTGTCTGGACAGCTTGCACTCGTTTGCACGGACAGCGATACAGATTCGGCTTGTCCTGGCCATGACTTGGATCGCAGCTCCTGTGCACGTCTCGTTCGTTGGAAGATGAATCGAATCATGCGCGACTTCAAGCTCGTAGACGATACATATACTTCTTGCGTCCGATACATCTTGGTCCCTCGATGACTGGACTTTGGTTCGAAGTCGCCTCGAGTGCGTGCTGCATCTGTCATCCTGTCAATGCTGCTCGACGGCTGCTCCTTCACGGTCTACTGCTTCACGGCCTGCTGCTTGGCGGCAAATTCAAAAATGGTCGGTAATATCGTGCTGCCGCGTTCGAACGACCTTCTCTGGTTCTTTGCCTCTTCTCGTCATGCGAATATGCTGACCTTCTTGACCCACCTCGCTTGCTACTGCAGTGCGTGGCAAGGAGACGAAAAGGATTTGAAATCAAAAGCTGGGTACTAAACACTGGATGAACTCTGCTCGGACGGATCGATAGATCGATACTGTACATTCATGGACTCGATGACTGTGTGGCTGCTCCGGGACGAGAGCGACGCGTGCATGGATACGCGGCATGCCTCGTATACTTGACGTGAAGGTACCGGTCGAGCGCAAGCACAAGTGTTCGAATCGTCATCGCGGAGGAAGATTAAGGAATAGCTGACTCATTCCGAGAATATCGGGGACGCGTTCTTTGCTTGAACCAGCTTTGGGACGTGACGAAACAGGCAACAGAAGGTTTTGTAAACAAAGCCACTTAAGCCATCATTGAGGACTACCACACCATTTGCTTTGTTACTGTGTTGGGTTACAGCATGCTGGTAACTCCGTACCTGTTCACACTGTACCTACTGAACGATGATCATACGCGCTCGATGATGACCATACGCGCTCGATAATGAAGAGGATGGTATGCGCTTGATGAAGAAGATAGGTGGAACGAAAGGATCGGTAGCAACCAAAAGTGCTCGCCCTTGTGGCAGTGTACGTTGTCTGTCGAGTCGTTGTCGCCATGTAGATTCGAGTGAGTGTATCGGCTGTACACAGACTGGTTGTGACGTGCGGTGGCTGGCGAGTGGAGAAGTGTACGCTGCTGGCATCTCGTGGTGGCGTCGAAACACATGGTTGGTTGGATCATGATCTATCGTTCGACCTCTGTTTCGATGGGGCGATATCTTTGCAAGAACAGTGCTTTTGCTTATCGGAAGCAATATTCCGCCACAGTGCAATCGGAATGACAAGACTTGTCTCTCTGTTTGTGATTACCGATGACATTCGCTTCAGTTCTGATAGTAATGACGCTTGAGATGCAAGACTAAGTCGTGATCGAACTTGTTTGTCTTGTATTCGTGAGCATATAGCAGTCTCCGATGCTTACGCGACATGTCACTTTCGTATTTGTCGTCAAACATCGCTGGCGTAATCTGGTCTAGTGCCTTGTGCTGCTTGCATTTGACAGTCGTGTGACTGTGACTGCCGTATGTTGTAACTGTGACCGATCACCGCGACATGAAAACACGGTCAGTCTCGTGACCAACGAAGACATCGTGTGGAGCCATAGCGACGTGCTCAGATGTCACTTCACTTCATTGAAGGATACTCGCGTCTTGGACACCGGTAGATGATGTGAAGGGCATGTCTTCCACAGTAGTGAGTCGGTTCAGAATGAGCTACTACAGACATGACGCCTATCCATCCTGGCATCCGCTACGAACTCTCGTGCGCGAAACCAGCTGTCTGGAAAGGCCCGAGTACAATTGTTCACTGCATGACGCTCCTCTTTAGTCCAGAACTCGAAACCGTGCGAGCCGAGTTCGACCGATCCAACAAAGGAAGTTCTACGGAACACGTACGAAAGTCGTTTACCAGCTCTGCTCGAAAGAAGCCGCTCTCACTCTTTCGCATCTCACGTGCTTGATGCAGTAACAAGCGCTGGCAACGATTACAGGATGGTACTAGCGTCGATTCAGACTGATGATCGCGTTCTTTCACGCTAACGGTAATGAACCTGCATCGTCTGCACCGTACAGGTTGAGCTGCGTTTCAAATGTGGATGGCGATATGTTTCTTTGTATATGCCTACTCGAGTTTCATTTCATAGTAGCGACTTCGTCCAGCTACCTTCTCGAAAGGGTCGTAATCAAGCTAGCTGATCGATCAGTAGTGATGCATGCCAGTCGCGGTGATGGCGACTTTACATGATGTGTAGTCCGGCGATACAAACGAGCTAGGTGAATCGTATGCTCTGATAGTTGCTGCGGATATCGACAGTCACGTCGCGCACGAGTGTCGTTTCAAATCGCGCATCGT